ATGTGCCAGAGCTTCAGCTTCAAACCATTCACCACTAAAAATAGTCTTAACTATGGTAATGTGCCTGGTCTACTTATAATTATTTCAGCCATGGTACTTTTATCACAGTAGTGGCAACTCAGTGGGTTTGAAATGTGCCTTTTCTAATGCTTGAACGGACGTATTGAGAGGCTCAACACAGAATATTTTTGCCTGTTTTCACATTGTACATGATATACTGTAGGTTTATTCAAGTAGCACAGGTATTTTTAGCACTTATGAATTATTGATAGTTAACATAGTGCATATTCTACTTGTATACAGTACAGAGTAATACTGGTAAATAAAGCAGTTCTAAAGATGGCTGCCAAAAATCCTGCCATCAATGGTCATTGTAGTGTTTATTTAGTGGTCCTAAAAGTGTGTCTTATTGTTGGTGCGTGTAAATGTGATTCTGTCAGACTCTGCTGCACCAAACTTCACCACACGTCACTGGTCCTAATAAACGTTGTCATACATCCTACAATTAATTGAAAGGTGTTTGAAATTCAAATGAACTTATTTTCATGTTACATTCACAAAGATATCCAGGACAGCAAGAGTCTTTTATAGGAACGCCCTTTGGTGCGTGGCGAGACTGTCGGGAAGCTTGGTCTGTGTTTTCTCTCTTTCCTCATCCTCTGACAGACTGTAGCCATTTAACGCTGATGTTAGCAAACTTTTTGAACTCAGCTTTCTGTTGCTTTTTTTTTTTTTTAGATGTTTATCTGTTTGCTTGTGGTAAAAGTGCTAAATTTTGTCCTTCCTGACAGCTTTGCTGAGAAGACTTTGCAGTCAGCTTTACTTTGCCAGCACCATTCACTTTGAAATCCCTTCACATGGCTGCTGCTTCTTTTGCCTGATGCTCATTGGCATTTGACAAACAACTTTAAAGAATTACCACCAAGAACTGATAAGAAATGTGGATCAGGACAGCTAACTCAAATAAATAACTAAAATAAAATAAAATAATTATACATAGCTGACATTGCACTCCCTCTACACGTTTATTATCATTATTATTATTATTATTATTACTATTATTATTATTATTGCAACATAATCTCATGCTAATCTTGGCAGTGACTGTCTACAGCAGTAAAAAAAAAAAAATCTAGAGGTGCTTCTATGTTGTCCTTGTCAAACTGATGTATAATTTGGAATTTTATATAATTTATCATGTTTTATGAATCATAAAAAGTTGTGGAAGTAAAAAAAAAATGTTTGCTCACAACAAACTGAACATTTTAGACAACTCAAAGGTTCAAAACTGTAAAAATTTAACACTAAGCTGAACTTTCAGTGGAAAAACTTATAGGAACATAAAACCTGAATTGAGACTGTGTAAAAACTGTAAAATATATCAAAATACAGGCGTGTAAAATCTATATTTCTGTGACTAGTTTGAACTAAAACTAATGTTTCTATGGTGGAGACTATCTGAGCTGTAGTGCTCCAAAGAGGGCTGTTGAGTTTTTCTGCTCTTCATCAACATCTTCCAAGAATATCCATTGTATATTTGTCAGGATGTTTTATCTTTTCTTCACATGCTGTCTACATTGTGCAACATACAGTACTGCTAGCACACTATTCCTAATCAAGCCATGTTTTGGTATATTTGTACTTTTTAATTTTATACTTTCCCATTGAGATAATGGGAAAAAAAATGGACAGTAACACATTTGCTTCAATGTATTGTCACCCTTGAATAAAATGTGGCTAAATTGAATGAAAGTTTGAAATATTAGTTAGTTCATGCATTATAAGAAACTGTCTTTTTCACCCAGCTTTGTCTATTGGGTTGAATCAGATTAGAAGATGCTGATGTGTCTCAGTGTTTTTTTTTATTTATTTATTGCATCAAGTCTGCTGAAACAGATTTAATGATGGGATTAAATATGCTAATATTTAGCAGTTTTTCATGTCATCCCCAGAGTCCTCAGTAGATAAACGGACAGACATGATTAAACTGTTATGTTGGAGTAACAATTAAGTTTCCCATGATTTGCACTGCAGTTACACTGAGAGAGAAACAGTTAATCAGAGAAAAATGCAATGGTGGACGTCATTCACACAAGGCATCATGTTGTTTTAGGAATAAGGTGGAGAATACATTTTAATTCAAGATAAATTAAATTAAAGATAGATGTTGAAATGAATGACATGTAACATCACTCTGCCTACCTGTTCTGTTTGACAATGATGGTAGAAGGCATAGAAGTAGGTCGGCGATCCAAAACTGGAGTGAAGATCAGCCGTGGCAATAGCAGGTGCCACCCACTGATGATCAGTGAAAAGAGCCAGTAGAGTTTTCCTGCGGGTCTCCGGGTTGTGTTTGTCAGCCCAGTCTGTGTACATGAACTTGATAGTCTCTCGTAGGATGTCTTTACCCTCTGGGTAACCATAAAGGTCATCAACAAAGCTGGACACGGCGTAGTCAAAGTCATTGGCCTGGACACCATTGTCGTTGTCGACAATAAGCTCCACAAATTTAAGGCCCTCACCCTGGTTCACTCCTAACATTATATCATAGTTGAGGAATTCACCTGAAGGAGATGCAAAGAGTTGATAAATGATATATTTGAGACAAGAACACTGTTTAACATGACAAACTTTTTTTTTTTTTTTGCAAAAGGAACTGGTACCTTGCTCCATCAGTATCTGTGGATCATCAGGTATAACATCACCATCTATAACTGGGCCAAAGGCTATGTGGTAGCGGGCTGGCTGGATGTCTTGATCCACAAGTTCTTTGTAATGTTTTTTTTGTAAGCAGACCACAAGTTCCATGGTGTCCTCTAGGTTGCAACCCACCTTACGGGCCAGCATGCGGGCATATTTGGCTGGTTGAAAACTGACAGCCCAGCTGGACAGCGCTGTGCCGCTCTGAGCTATGGCTCTCTGGAACAGACCTGAGAGTATCGACAGACAAACAAAAATGACTAATTTCTGAAATTTCAGAAATGTATGTCATACACCATAATGTGAAATAGTTTGATAATTAGTGGCACAACAACATCATTATTTTTATATGCCCATCAAAGGTGGGACATATTTCTCCACTGTCCGTCAACGTTCTCTGGTCCCGGCTATAACTTCTGATTTTCTCAGGACAGTTTAATAAAACGTCATACACACATGCATAATCAGGAAACAAAGTGTGACATTAACTCTTCATCACCCAAGCTTCAAGGTCAATGTCAAAAATCAAGGTCAAATATTGTACAAGGTCTTTGCTTGTCTGCACCAATGCTACTGCATGTTGTATTAGCTGCTGTGGCTGAGTGGTTAGAGCAGTCGTCCTCCAATGCGAGAGTTGGGGGTTCAATTCCACCAGCAGTCACATGCTGAAGTGTTCCTGGGCAAGACACTGAACCCCTCATTGCCTCTGATGTGTGTCCCATTAATGTATGAATGTGATGAAGCACTGATTAGTCTTTGTAGAGATCTAGTAGAGCGCTGTATGAATGGGTAAATGAGGACACAGATTGTGTAAAGTGCTTTGAGTATCTTGATAAGATAGAAAGGCGCTATATAAATACAGCCAATTTACCATTTATAATAGTTTATCAATGGGTGTATAATGTGTCACATGTGTTACTCTTGTTTAAAATCAGACAGGATATAGTAAGAGACACATATTGTATTTCCCACATATAAACAAAACAAATTATAATAAGCAAACATACTTTTGAATGTTTTGGCACAAAAACAAAAGTTTCAGACCAATTCCACTAGTTTATATAGAAAAAATTAACTAAAGCACAGGTCTAGCATTCCTTGAGGAAATGCACACCATGCACTGTCTTTCATGCCAGAGTTTTAAACTAAGATAATCCAGTGTTCTAGTCATTTGGGTCAAACCTAGAATATAATGTTAAGTGCAAACAGACTTATAATATCACCGTTTTGAGTACAATGTGGTAAAATAGGAGACTTGCATCATGGGTCTGCATTCGACACATTTGCAGCAACTGTGTGAAGCTAACATGTCAACATGGACAATAACATCTGAGGAACGTTTCCAGCATCTTGTTTAATCTGTTATGGAGAATTTAGGAGGTTCTGAAAGCAGACGGGTCCAGCCTGGTACTGGCAGGGTGTTCCTCACAAAGTGGATGCTGAGTGTATTTTGGTTGATTAATGAGTTAGTGAAAATACATATTTAGCAGCTGCAAAAGTGTCTTGCATATTATGTATGTTGGTCATTTTAAAAGATAAACTGATTTATTTTTTTTTTATCATTATTATCATCTGAAGGCAAAACAGCCTGAAGTTGGCTTGTGTTTGTAGATTTTTTTTTTTTTTTTTTACATTTCATGAGCCACTGGATGGATTTTAGTGAAATTTTCAGAAAGTAATCCTTGGATATACACACTTCATTCAACCTTTATTTATACAGATTACATACGACTGATGGACATTTTAAGCCAGTCCAATGTAAGATGGACACCACAGCCAACCGATCTTAGGAAACATAGCGTGTCCATTATTCAGTCTATTTTACATATATTAATCTAACATATTGAGTGGTAGTAGCAGAGAGTCACTCACAACACACTCAGAGTACTGTATTGCCCATTATGCAATATTTTTAAATGCACCTTTTACAATAACAGTTGGCATCAACTCTGTTTTTGTTAGAAAAATATCTCATCAACCAATGAACGTATCTTTATCTAAATGCTCAGAAAGTATTCACTGACTGTGTTTCCACCCAATTCAAGATGGCTGCCACAGATCTGTGGCATTACCCAACTCAGAAATGGATCTAACTTCCATCCATCCATCCATCCATCCATCCATTATCTTTTACCCACGTCTTCCATTTGGGGTCACCGGGGTTGCCGGTGCCCATGTCCAGCAATCACTGTGCGAGGGACGGGGTACACCCTGGACAGGTCTCCAGTCCATCACAGGGACACATAGAGACAAATGAGACAAACAACCATTCACTCTCTCACTCACACCTAGGGACAATTTAGAGTTACCAATCAGCCTAACATGCATGTTTTTGGTCTGTGGGAGGAAACCGGAGTACCCGGAGAAAACCCACGCATGCACGGATAGAACATGCAAACTCCACCCAGAAAGGCCCCCCAGACCGGGATTTGAATCAGGGACTGGCTCGCTGAGAAGCAGCAGCTCTACCAGTTGTGCCACCGTGCTGCCCCTGGATCTAACTTATTTATACAAATATTACATTTTGTGTGGTCGTAGCTGAGAGTCATTCTCAACATATAATCCAACATGTCTTGTGGTATTGCAGCTGATCAAACATTAGGTCATTTGGAAGGTTTGTCTAAAACAGCTACAACATTGTTCACACGGCGTAAAATGATCTTAGCTTAAAATTATGTCTGAAAGGACAGCAATAATAATAATAATAATAATAATAATAATAATAATAATAGAAATAATAACTTATTTATAAAGCCCTTTAAAACAACCACAGCTGCCATAAAGTGCTGTACACATAAAATCAAGAACGTTTAAACACATAAAAAACAAAACAGTTGTTAAAACATAAAGATCAATAAAAACAATGCAGAGCAAATTTCAGTGTTTGCTAAAAGCCAGGGAGTAAAAATATGTTTTTACAAGAGTTTAAAAATGGACAGTGAAGGAGCTCGTCTAATGGGAATCTTGGAACGTGCAGGTGACACGCAGTCCTTCAAGGAGTGCTGAGCCTTTAATTTGGTCAAATAAATTACGTTTGGCCTTTTTTTCCCTGAAGTTTTGTTGTCCTTGAAGTTGTTTATTTTTATTTATACTTTATAAATATTGCTATTCTTGAGTGTAACTGGGACTTGGAGGACTTAGTTTCGTTCCACCTCATGTACCACATGAGATGTGAATGACAAATTCTCCTTGACCCTTGTCCCTTCAGACATGCCACATGCCCACATGCATTGCATTCATCAGAATATTGTAGCTTTAAGCTATAATACAGAAGATTCCTTCTGGATGTTCCTAAGATTTACCTTTGGTGGAGTTGCTCCAGCGGTTGCCTTCAGAATAGTGGGACAGGGTGAGAAGGTTCACACACGATGCTCCAGCACTTGAGCCAAACACCGTGATGCGTAATGGGTCACCACCGAAAGCTGCGATGTTCTCACTGGTCCAACGCAGAGCCTGGATCAGATCCAACAAACCATAATTCCCTTTGGCTGATTGGTCACCAGTACTCAGGAAACCTGCACGAAACAACAACAACAACAACAAAAAGAGAATGAACAAATGCTGTATTTGTGTAATAAACAAGAGGGTGCAGCAAAATTTTACATTATGACATATTACATAACAACATCAATTAAAATGACATCAATACAATATAAAAATAGATATTCAACTCAGTTTATTTATATAGCGCCAAGTCACAACAGAAGTCATCTCAGGGCACGATCTCAAGCAGATATCACGGAAGGGAAAGATTACTTCTGATTTCATTGTACAAAAGAATAAAAACAACTAAAAAACAACAGCATTCATTCAAATTGACAATGAGATCATTTTATGCATAATAAATTAATAAAAACTGTAGGTTTAACAATAATAATAAAAAAACTAAGACAGCAGATGTGTTTTATTTTTCTCTGTAAATCAATCCATCCATCAAAAATATGACCTTTTATTTTTCACTCAACACATCACCAAATTTTAATAAATGTCTACATACACCAGAGGATCTGTGTTTTGATCCTGTACGCTCCACACTGTTTTGTCGTCATTATCTGCATCGTTTTTATGTCCATATTCTGATTTACCTCATTTTGTATTTTGCTTTGTGTGTTACCTGTTGTTCTGTCTGTACAGCACTTTGGTTGGCCTTGTTGCTGTTTTAAGTGCTCTATAAATAAAGTGGTATGGTATACAGCTTCAAACTGTGGCGTTATAGTCTTTATTAACGTGTGTGTGTGAGAGTGTGTGTGAGTTTGCGTGTTGGTGTGTGTGTGATACAAATAGTTTTAAAATACCCCTAATGTCAACAGCAATGATTAGAATAAATGTGTGAATACTGAGTGTTGAATGAATGTCCAATACTAAAAGCTAAAATCAGCACATCTGCAGCTGCTAGATAAAACAAGCCTAACAGTAGCTGCTTCTAACTCAGTCTTCACACAATCATCAGAAATATCTGAGCAGTAAAATATGCACTAAGCCATCACTTTGTGCTCATATATCGTCGTGTGTTAGAACTTTTGGATGGCTCGTTGGCTCGTGTTGTTTAACTGATGCGGTGAGTAAACATTTTAAATGCAAATGTAGAAAAACACACGGGCATGCACATGTAGCTGTTCTTGAAACTGAATCAGTGAATTATATGCAAACTGCAGACATTTCTGTGTTTTCACAAAACATTTCACAGTCCTAACTCATTTGCATTGTGTGCTCCTGCAGTAGGTCAAACATTAAGGATTAGATTGGGTTGTCCCTTTTTCCCCTGACAGATAAATTAACATCATCTGCTGAATTCAGTCAGAAGCAGCAGGCTGAGGCTTGATCTCTGGAAACAGCAGCTTCCAGCTTCAGACACAACTCAAAATGATTGTAAAACTGTTAAAAAAATGTTTGTCCTGCAATTTCCAAGTTCTTGGGAAATATCTAAGCAAAGGAATAACATGGAAAAAATACTGATGAACCTTTTATTTACACATAAAATTTTCGTTGAGCAATAATAATGTATAATTTTGAATTTCCTGTCTGTTTGTCTGTCTGTCTGTCTGTCTGTCTGTCTGTCTGTATACCCATGTATCAGCTAACCAAAAGCATTAAAATGGTCAACGGTCCTCAATGGAATGAGGTACAGGCAAACCCTCCTGCAAGTCTTGGCTTGACAATATTGTTGGTACTTACAACAAGATGTTGTTGAAATCTTTTTAAATGACTTTTCTGAATATTGTCAATGCTTTTACCTTTACACTGCCAAAAGCTTGCAATCACATTAATTGTCTTTACAGGATTTATAAGACGTGTGATTACATGTTATTATCATGCTGGTTGAACTATAAAAACACTCAATTATATGACGCAGTAATGCATGTTAATGTGCCATTAATGTTTATGACTCATGAATGTGTTTTATCAAGAGTTCTTTCCACTGTGTAAAAGACATGAAGCTTCTGTGTTTTTTATATTCATTTGTTACGTTTTGTTTTCATCTTTCTCTTCATTCTGGGAGAGATTGAGAATTGCTTGGAGGGCCAGCACTCTTAAGGGGGACTGTCTCTTATTCTAAGGGAAGCAGTTGCCCATTCAATCCTCTTTTTTTTTTTTGAGTTTGGGCTGGCCCAGTCCCACCTCTTAGCTCACCCTTCCCTGTCCCTCACTGTCTTCACGTCCCGTCCTCCTGAATTTCACACAATTTACTTACTTGAAATTACTGCAGGGAAGGATGAAAATAGAGCTGTAAGGGTGGTGCAGCACGGAAATGAGAAAAACCTGCAGGCAGGTGCTGCCATACGTGTTAAAATTACAGACATGGTCGCTGTAGATTCACCTTCTGCAGAAGCAGACGTATTTCACAAACATGAAGCAGAGGAACAGAGTGAGGACTAATGTTAGTCAAATAAGGAGACTATATATATATATATATATATATATATATATATATATATATATATATATATATATATATATATATACACATATATATTAATGTATATGAGCGTGAAACAAAATAATGAGCAAGCAAGAGAGAGAAACTCTATGGGAAGAATGTGGAAACGTTGATATCCATCATCCACATTGGCTCAACTTCAGACCCAGTGTTCCAACATTCGAGCCAGGAATCTGTTTTCACATCTAGAGATTGATGAGATACAGCAAAGATGTTATGGCAAGGGGGAGTCAGGACGACAGGTCAGTACTCACTACTCACTGAGTATGTGTACTAAGCCCCATTGATGAGGCCTGAGGAACGATAACAGGACATATGACCCGAGATTGAAGATTGTAATGGAATACAATTACTTGTAACAAGTTTAAAGATTTTTATTTTATTTTTTATAATAAATTTACTTGACAACTCTTTTTACATTTTCTTAAGGAAAATTTATTAATTTACATTTTATATAAAGTCTTTCAGTCTCAAATTGATTTACTGCTGTATTCAAAGTACCTGTTGTGCTATTACTGTAAATACACAATAGCTTTGCCCCCAAAATGAAAGTTAATTAAAACTGTATTTTTTTTTTAAATATCTGTGTTTGTTTGTTTTATTTTTTGTGTGTTTTTTTTATTGCAGGGGGGAGGGGGGGTGTCATTCAGGTGATCTTTCCTGCTGTGTAAACGTTCAACTTGACCATCAATGACCACCGAGACAGCAGTCAAGAGTGAGTGAGCTCACTGGTTCTTTTGATTTGTCCATGAAACACAGTCTGGTTGTATTGTCACTTTGGGAACACCAAATGATGCATCACATTTTAAGAGGGTCACAGCAGGCCACCTGGACCAAATATGCCTGGGCTAATATTTTGTCCTAGTCCAGCCCAGACTCCAGTATGTCAGAACTTAAAGTCTTTGCTGTTTATATTGAAGTTATGTCTCTAGAACTGTACATTAATGTTGCTGTATGTCATATTTAGTACTCTGAGGCCACGTGTGAAATGGATTTATAAGATAAAACACCCTGTTTTTGCTTGTTGCCAAATACCGAAAGCCATTCTTCCTCTGCCATGCAAACCGCCATCATGCAAACAAGGCACACCTGAAAATGAGAGCTCGCTCTGTTTGGCCCTTGTGCCGTCTGAATAAAGGTTGAATGAGTGAACATCCTGTAGCTCCATATTCATTACTCCCCGTGAGAAATATGGTGTGCCTTGTCAGCACTTTCCCGCAGCCGGTTGCCCCCAGCGTGTCGACGTCTGCGCTGTTGTTGGATGCATGGAGCAGATATAAATGGAGCGTTGCTGAGGCTCTGTAAATATTTGGAGTTGCTGTTGCACCATTTGTTTTAATCCGACATCCACAGGCTGCGGGGCACAATAAGTGGGAGTGCAGTTTAGGTGAGGTGAGCTTTCAGAGAGCTTTTGTTACATACTGCATATAATGCAGACATTTTCATTGTGGACGTATACTCGGTCTGTCAATCAAGATGTATAAATGTATCTCTGGGTACACAAGATTTGCCTCCAGAAGTGTCATTTGTGCACAAAATTAAACAGAAACAATACAATAAAAATGAAAATAAATCTTTTGGCGTTATTATAGCTCATTTAAGCTTTTTTTTCTTTTTTTTTTAAAGTAATTCAATCAATAATTATTTTGTAATTATATCTTGTATGTCTTACATGCATGCTTTACATGCAGAATTGTGAAAATAAATGATTGCTTGCTTAATTAACAAATATATACTAAAATAGTGTGGACATGTGCTTGGTCACATTAAAAAGATAATTTTTCTTTGCAATATAGTCATGTTTCAAACTGAGTTTAAGCTTTATAAGTGTTGCAGGTACCAAGCTTTTCACCAGGAAACAAACGTGCTTCTGGGACATTTTTGGTATTGTTATGTGCACTGGACTGAACATGGAGCAGGGAAAGCAAAGAGCTGTCCGAGGAGCTCAGAAAGAAAGTTAAAGGCTACAAGTCCATCTCCAAGCAGCTTCATATTCTTCGGACAACAGCTGACAAGATTAATAAAGAGTATAGGGTTCACATGACTGTAGCCAACCTCCTGGGAAGTGAACAAAAGAGGATAAACAACCCCAGGTTGATCACACTGAAAGTGCAGAAAGCAGAAAAAAAGAGCCAAGAAAATCATTTGAAATCATTCAAGCTGAACTCCAAAGGCAAGATACTTCGATTCAAAATGTGACAAATGAGGTGATCAGAAAATGAATAGGCTACTTGGGAGAAGACTAGGGATGGGGCCGATCCAATCCAGTATCGGTATCGGCCTCCGATACAGCATAATTTACGTATCGGATTTTTCCGATCCATCTGCCGATATTTCCAATCCATGATGCAAGTTGGCTTCAAACTATGGAATGGATTTCCTGAACAGCGGCGTGTCTCATGAACCCAGAGTAATCAGACCCGCCTCACATTCAGGAAATCCAGTTCATAGTTTGCAGCCAGCTACAACGTGAGGACCGAGTTAGCAGCACTGTGGCTAACAGCTAACAAACTTTTCATCTAAACATGTCCGCTGTGTGGAAGTATTTTACACTAGAAACACCACAAAACAAGACAG